CCGGTCTGAGGGAACTTCCTGCCCCTCCATCAACGAAGCTTGAAATGGTCGTTATCTCAAACCAGACCTTTCGCAGCAGTGTGCTGGATGCCCAGGCTCTGAAACCCTACTGGTCCCCTGACTTCGGTGGTGAAGTGCGGCTGAAGCTGCTCAAGATACGCTACTGCAACATAGCCAGCCTGACACGTGGTGCCTTCAGTAACTTGGGTCTCCAACTGGAGGAGTTAGACCTCAGTGGAAACCCCCTGAAAGTCATCGACGCCTTTGTTTTCAGCGGACTCAAGCTGAAGAGTCTCTTTCTGAACAACCTCCCCAGACCAAAAATCGATGATAATGCTTTTTCTGGCGTGCTAGAAATGAATAGCCTCAGCCTGCAGAATTCACGTCTCACCCGTCTGTCGTATCATGCTCTGAGTGAGTTGACTCAGGCCAACTTTCTTAAAAACCTCTTACTCCATGGCAACCAACTCTCAAAAATAGATTCTTCATTTGAGCATATCTTTCGGAATCTGCAAAGTTTTGAACTCACAGGAAATCCCTGGCACTGTAATTGTAATCTACGCTGGCTCATTCAAATCTATCGACTGAGTCGTGCCAATGGCGTGCAGATGTCGAGGATTCACCACCAGCAACCTACTTGCTCCGCCCCCGATGACTTTGCTAATTTCTCCTTTGACGAGGTGGCGCTCAACGAGAGTGAGCTTTATTCGGAGCCCTATTTCACGGGCAGGCCTCGCCCACTGCTACTATGTGAAGTGCCGCGCCTAGAACACCTTGAAGTGGACTTACGTCAATTCCTAACCGACCCTACGAACAGTCAAGCCGTTCTGGGCTGCCTTATACGTGGTACACCAGAAGTACATATCAGCTGGATTCATCACCTTGCCAGCGGTCAATCAAGAAATGTCACTTCGCAGGCCGCACTATCTGCCACCCCTGCTGTCAGCTCTGAAAGACAGGGTTTTGACTTTTCTCGAGGCAGGTCTCTGGTTTCGCGCTGGAGCAGTTCCCTGACTGTGAGTCGCTTCAACGCTTCAATCGACGCATACTCCTGCA